TAACAGAACACTGTAAAGATACTAAAATTCCTTGACCTTTCCAGTCCTGGAAGATGACATTTTCAATTTCCATGACCGTGGGAACCCTGAAATGGCTAGACATGTACGTGGAATTTTATTATCTAAAATTTTTAGACTTAAAGCCATAGGATGAAGTGTTTCAACTGAAAAATTGACTAATATAAAAGCATGTTCTTTTTTTTGTTTGTTTGTTTTTGGTTGTGTTTATTACATTGAAAAATAGAAAAACATGAGTCCTTACTGTGAGCGAGCTTGTATTTCCACAAACTTGACTCTGACTTGGCCTGGAGGAGGGCTTCTTCTTGTTTGTTTCCATGGCAATGTGGTTAATTTGGCTGTAATCTTCTACACCATTGACTTCTCTATAAAACATCTATCTCTCTGGAGAATATTTAAAAGTATGGTGTTACCTTTCTATTTCCATGCAGGTGATACACCTCCTTCAGAAAATTCTATACTGTACCTTTTTTAAATGAGAAACAACATTCACATGACCTTTTCCTTAATGTTGTTTATCCACAAGGGAAGTTACCTAACACATTATATAATAACAAAGAGGAAAAGAAAATGGTAATATATTTTATGCTCCTCCATCAAATATGTTGAGCCTACGCTGCAATATTATTGACACAAAGTTGGCCCAAATATTAAGAAAAAAATGGAAAAAAACATTCACAAATGACTTGCAATGTGTTACATTTGTATAAAGCGACAGACAATCACTCACCAACCACACTGAAAGATGAAAACAAACCATTCCTCACTAGTAATAACATTGCTAACTGTAATATTTTCCCCAATTGCCAAAAAATGAATTCGACACATCTTTTGAATTGCTTCCCACTGTACCCTTAATTAGCTTCTCTTATTTCCAGCGCGTGAATCCCTGTGCAGTCTGTCTCTTTTGTCTTCCCTCACAAACAGAATCTCTCCTTGTTGTTTCCATTTGCCTAACACCTCCTTGTATCTCCCATGTCTTATGCCTGTCTGCCTCCCATCTCTCTCTCTCTCTCTCCCCGGCTCCCTTTCGGCTTACATGTATAGCCCTGGATTCCCGAGTATCAGGTAAAAAACACTATTCGTTTTGCTTGAGAATGTTTTGTCTTGATCCGACATTTATTACAGGAATGCACTGATCCATGTTCTCTCTCCCGTGCTTTTACGCCAGTTTCGCAGCTCAGATTAAATGTAGTCCATGTTTATTAAAATCAAACAGTTGCACAAAGGCAGTCCCAGTATGTGCCGGTGTGTGTGTGCGGGCTTCGTGAGTCCAAGAAAATTGCGTATTCTGCTTCTTCTTGGTGCAGATGTGCGGGCTGTAGTGGATTCAGGAGTTGGTGAATGTAGAAGTAGTGTTCATCAACTTGCACTCTGAAATATATTTATTGAGGGTTTGATTAAATTGCTATCTGATCTGTCAAGTTGGATTTAAACCTGGAGTTTCACACTGGCGGTCGATACACGGCGTGAGTAAAGGTTGGAGCGTAAATTTTAGGTATGTATCCCAATGCAGTGATTCTTAGTGAGGTTTCGAATGGAGACGTACTTAAACTTGCTGCCAAAAGTACTGCCTAGGATAATTTGGGCCCGTTCAGCAAGAGATCTGAGGGCTGCCATTGGCCCCTGAGTTAAATCCTTAGACGAGGTGGTTGTGGGATCCAAAACGGTCGTCTCACAGCTTTAAAAAGCATAACATATGTCAATGGCAGTTCACAAAGACAAGAATTCATACAATTTAAGTCAAAAATGCAAACCTACGGGTAGTGGTTTTGCCCACCAGGTTGGCTCTTCCGGTTTGTGTCCAGAATCCATGTATCATTCGCTCATTCTTTTTTCAAAATAAAACCAAAAATAAGAAAACAAAAAAAAATATTATTTTCTTCATTATTTGTCTCCAAAACCAAAATTTAAAAATGGATAATGCTTCGTTTTCTTAGTTTTCGATTTTGTGTTTAAATGAATAATGAAAAAACAGATAATGGTTGTTTCCCGTTTCCATGGCTTAAACTGCATTGCCAGACTGAGCCAGGCCTGAACCAGGACTGAACCAGGACTAAACCAGGTCTAAAACAGGACTAAACAGGACTAAACCAGGACTGAATGTCGGGACTGGCTCGGAGGTGCGCCCGTGTAGATTGTTGGGTGGTCAGGCCTAAAACCGGACTAACAAAGACCGGGACCACACTGGGACTGAGACTGGGACCAGATCGGGACCAAACCAAGACTGAGACGGGGACCAGACTGGGACCAGACCGGGACTGAGACCGGGACTGAGACCAGGACCAGACTGGGACTGAGACCAGAACTACTTTTTTTTTCAAATTTTGGTTTTGGAGACAAGTAATGAAAAAAAAAAAAAAAGTTGATTTTTTCGTTTTCCTATTTTTGGTTTTATATTGAAAAATGAATGAACGAATGATACACTGATTTGTCTATTGGCAAGACTCTTCACTCACCTCGACTCCAGTGTCAATATACATTCATGTTAGATAATGTAATTTTTCTGAGTATGAGTAATATCAAGATAACTTCTCTCAAACTAGTTCTTCAGTGCAGAATCAAATCGCTCAAAGTGACAGAAACTTTACACATCCAGTTTGAGAAGATGAGAAGGTATAGGAAACTAAAGCCAAGACCTTATCGCGCTTGTACGCCCATGTGATTCTGTGAAGGCTCAGCATGGGCTCTACTGGATCAGTGCATCCCTGCATTATTCTGAAGGTACCACAAACTGCAAGTAGTCAGACGCAAGCGGGTGAGCTCTAAACGCCTCTCTCTAATCTCAGCCACATCCTGTCACTCACGCTTAGCAGTAGGACCTGTCGTACACACGCGCAGACCTACATCGTCTCCGGAGCTTTAACTGTCTTCTACCTCCACTTCAGGACAAGTAATACTCTTTTAAACCATGTCGGCAGGTGCATTAGCTTTGACGGCAGCAGACCTTTCTTCCACTTATTTTTTTTGTTCTCCCTGTAAGTCAATGTGTTTGTCAGTCTTAGCACCGCAAGAGATAAGTAATTTTCTTTTCCAAATGTTTCCCTTCCCGCGATTGTGTAAAAGGAGCAGTCAAGATAGGATATAAAGGTAAATCGAACCACTATACTATACTATACACCCAAGGGAGATTGTCACCAACAATCCCCCCCTGCTCTCTGTCTCCCTAGCACGGCGTTTATACACTTGTCCGTCCCAGTCGCCCATGATGTTGTTCCCCTGTCTGAATCCTCTGTGTCTGCCAGATTAAACGCCCCCTACTGGTGTGGTTTAGTCGTTGTTTTTGCGGCTCCCTGTCTTCACCCTCCACTATACAAGGAATGCCAACCCAGCAGCGATTGCTCTGTTCTTTGTAAATGTATAAACTCGAGAACCCCCTTTTCCCTATTTACATACAGACTTCCCTGGTCCTTTGATGTTACTTCACATGAGTGCTTCCTATATACGTGCGCCGTCCAGGCTATGTATAGAACTAAACGTGTTCTCTGGTGAAAAGGCTATATGTCCTTGAAGGCACACTGTGGGAGAATTGCATTAACACTAGAAAGGGCCTGCCATGATCAGAGCGGCGGTTTATTACAGTGGATGTTACAGCAAAACTTTAAAATAAGGCAAAGAAAGGCAGACCAGCCCACTGTCGATGTACGTAGAGATTTGTTGAATGTAAATTGTGCTCATGCATGACAGATTTAGCCATTTTTTTTTCTTTTAGTTCACAATAGTACGCAATAAGCATAGCATTCTTCAGCCTTCTAGTATTTAATAAAGATGGGGCAGGTACAGTTGTGTAAACATAGCTTTTGATATGATAATGTAAATTTGTGGATTTATAATGACTCCAGTGTTTCCTCTTAGCGTGGCGTTTTTGATATTTGAATGACTGGTGGGAGGGAAAGGACGACTCTGTTATGCACAACTGTATTTACTTCACAAATATTGTTATTAAGATAATATACACTACTGTCAAATGTTTTAGAACCCCACACTTTTTCCTGTTTTTGATGGAAAATTATTCAGTTTATTATGTCATTGCACTCTGAAGTGAAAGCGAAGAAAAAGAAATCATGGAATCAATTTACAGACCAAAATGTATTCTAAACTTTTGATTCATGATATATAGCCACCTTTGGCAGATATAAGAGCTGAACTCATTCTTCTTTCTACAATAGAAATCAAATATTCTTCAGAAAGTTCTTCCCAAGTCTGTTGCAGAAGTTCCCATAAATGTGTGGCACTTGTAGGTTGCTTCACCCTTCTGTTCAGTTCATCCCAAACCAGTTCAGTGGGTTTTAAAGTCTGGAGACCTCTGGCTGTTCAGTATTTACGTTTGTACCCATTTCAAGCTCTTCATTGGACTTGCACGACTTGAATTGCAATTACGGTGTTCTAAAACTTTTGACCGGAAGTGTACACGCTCGCTGTGTCATTATCTAGCCCCAGTTAATGCCACATTGCTTTGATTAATCTTACATATGTTTTCTGTAAGATATGTAACTCAGTCCTACCCCCTACAGACTATGAAACCACAACAGTCATAAGCATTTCATGAGCAGAATCCAATTATTGCTTTTTGAGCTGATAACTTAGAAATCAGTAATTAGATGTGCAACAACCTGTATAAACAATAGGATGCTTTTAAGATTAGATCAAACTTTCAGACCAGCTTTAAATTCTTCATAGTGTGCCTTTAGGACTTGATGCAGATATGGCACCATTTGTAATGCATAAAACTGATCACATTACTATCAGCGTGTACTTTTCTCCTTGCGCACCTGAAACTCATGTGAAACAACAACACCCGCTCCCTCACCCCTCACCCCCGTCAGAGCTGTACTGTATGTCCTCCTATCATCTCTAATTGTCCCCCTCTGAAAGCCCCTCCACTTATGTCTCCCTCCCTTTCCTTTTCCCCTCTATCTCCTCATGTTGATTCCTTCCACTTCCACGTCCTCCTGTTTGACACGTACATGATGTGTTGACAGACGGCTGCCCGGGGCTGTGCAACAACAACGGGAGGTGCGTCCTGGATCAGAATGTGTGGCACTGCATCTGTCAGTCCGGGTGGAGAGGCCTGGGCTGCGACGTGGCTACTGAGACGCTCTGCTCTGACGGCAAGGATAACGAGGGAGGTGAGAAGGAGAGAGAGAGACACTATGTTTACATGCTCACCAGGAAATCCGGATAACTGGCCAAGATTGACTGAAATCAGATGTTCAAAATGCATGAACTACAATTGTGGTTCAGATCTCCCACATTTCAGTTACACACCCAGAGAATGCTGTCACAATGTTTACATCATACACATTATAAAGAACTGGACTAAGGGAGTGACGTCACCCATTATGTTCAGCTCCAGTCAAATCGAGCTTATTGAGGGTAGCAAGCCGAGTTCCATATTAAGAATAGGAATTAATTTATGGACAAAATAGCAAAATAAAAACACCAGGATTGTTTAAAGTTGGTTAATATGAACTAGGGCCCGACCGATGTATCAGTTGGCCAATATTATCAGATGATATGGGCACCTGGAAACATCTTGCTCATATGGGCTGATATTTCACACGGGCATGTTATACATCGTTATAAAGCTTAGACTCTCTACATTATGTTCATTTAATCCAATTTACAGACAGATAAATGTCCTTATATGTGGCTCCGCATCACTATTTATTTGCGGTGTAATTTGTCTGTGTCTCTGGCCGTACTTTCCCTGAACACTCCCCCAGAGTCACGTCACTCACGTGTGCTTGTTTACACCCGCAGCCATAAATCCATGTGCGCCACACTTAGATTATATTCTTTTTATGGACAATCAGTTTGAGTCTGGATTAAAAGGACATTTATTAGTGCAGACTTGTGGTCTGAGAGGATCCTGTGTGAGTGATGAGTGTTGGAATTGTCGATTTTGAAGCTAGTTTTGGTTAGCTGCTTTAGCTCCCACACATGAACAGCTTGTTTTCCCTTTTATTGGCCTATTGTAAAGTGACTATATTGGCCGTATATATGTTACTGGACCAGCATTGATATGTAAATGAGCTGTGAATAGAATTGTGAACGATCGACATTTACACATATAATTAATTACAGTGGCTAATAACGGTAGTTTACTTTCTTTACAGGATAGAATGTCAAGGAAAAATGCCATTAGGCCGACCTACTGTCTGTAAATATGAAGTAAAGAGGCAGAATAACAATAAATGTAACCTAAATAAACCTAATTTAAAATCCACAAGAGACAAACCTAAGTTTTTTAAACAATTCAAGATTTACAGTGAATTTTTACATCACTAAATATATCGTTGATTATTTCGGCTATCGGCAGCTCCAACTCCCATTTTGTCGGTATTATATCGGCCACAACAAAATCCATATCGGTTGCTCCCTAATGTGAACATTTTAAGACCAAAATGAGGAGACTGACAGCAGAAGTTGCGGAGAGAGGGGCGATGTTTTTTTTTTCTATAGAAAGGGAATTGGAGTCGGAGTCGATGAAGCTGGAAGCAAATTCTGGAAGAAATTCGAAAGTGGTAAACAATCAAATTCACATTACTTTTGCTCCATGTCAGACCACTCCTGGCCCAGTCTACATGTAGGTTGTAGGTTATACCAAATATGTGCCAGCCAAGTGGGTTTAGTAATTTAGCATTTACAGTAAAACTTTTCAACTATAATTGCAAATAAAGACCGATATCATTTCAGGCATGCTAGAAACTGGGTCACTCTACTGCATAAATAAACACTTTGAAGCCCTGGTACTGTTTCACAGGTTAGCTTTAATTTTTACGTATCAGACCAAAACACTGAAACAACGTGGTCCTCTGCAGTGTAGAGACTGTAGTTTAACGTAGCTGAACTGCGTGCCTTGTTTTCCCGGTCGAGAGAGTAGCTTTAGTGTCTTTATTACATAAAACCAGCGGAGGCAATCTGTTTGGCGGCTGCAGCATGTATATATTCATACTCCGCTAATGACACGGCATAGATTTCTTGTTATGGTGTTTGTGGCTTCCGGGGCTTTCTTTTTCTTCTCCTTCCGCATAATAACCTCACTACGTTACTGGATAGTCGTCCCTGATTGGTTTACGTGGCGCGTCTGACGGCAAAAGTTAAGCTATTTCAACTTCTGGCATCTGACGCATCTGACGCCAGATGCTCAAGATGCGTAGCAACGACACCAGATTCTTGCTGCACTGACACCTGAAGACGCGCCACATAGACTTTGCATGCAAACTAGACGTCTTGACGCACCTTTCTGATCATAGCTTTAGAGATGTGTTTGGATGTTTACTGACTTATTTTAAATCATTTTTATAAGCAACAAATTTTTATTGCTAATACTAAATTACTAGACTCCTCTTAAAACCCATTTCCTTCTTTGTAGACTTGGACAACAGTGGTTTGACAGGTTTAGAGGCACAGACTCGCTCAGATTTCACTGTGCATGTAAATGTATTGAGAGAGAGTGAGTGAGAGAGAGAGAACGCTGGCTACAAATAGGTCCTCTTAGCCTTTTCTGCCGCACAACGCTTAGCTCTGGAAAAAAGAAGGGAAATGGGCTTTGATGTGGCTCCTCCGTGACAGCGCAAACAAACAAAACAAATCAATCATACATAATACATCAGTAGGAAGGATATTCAAATGTGGCCGCAGCAGATTGTTAAACAGCATGCACCGGAATGTACTGGAGATCAATTATAAAGCACTTAAAGCTGCACGGGATGTGAGCTTTTTGTTCAAGGGCTGCTAGCGCCATTTCAAAGTTCACTCGAGGTCAAACAGTTAACGTAAATAGGTATTACCATTAAGGTTGTCAATATTACATCATTAATTGAAATTATTTAAGTCACAATATAATAATTAGAACTTTAAATGAATGATAATCTTGACAGTTTTAGAAGCATTTATTCTCAAATAACTTTATATATGGTATACTATGTAAGGTGGGTTCACTACTTACTTGTCTCCATGGAGTTGTTTCATTTGTGTCTGGAATGTGCCACAGCAAAGCATTAAACTGTTGCTGGGCAGTTTTTATTGCTTTCGAAGTGGTTGCCTTTCCACAGATCTTACTTGTGATTTGGTGTGGAGGTGTCACCTGACTATTGAAAGAGATAAGTTTAAAGGTGCGTTTGTTTATCCATCAGACTCAGAGATCCGAGGACGTTGTCTAGCGACACGCACTGACACAACCCTTTTCCTCGGATGGCGGAACTCGGAAGAGCTCTGAGGAGACCGAGCAAAGATTCCGAGATAGAATGATAGAAAGATAGAAAGATGGCTGTGCCCAGTGTCACTTGTAGTATGAACTGTTTTCATTGTGTTTGGAGCTTTGGTGGTTTAAATAATGATTTCAGTCACTCGTATTACTGCTTATGTATGACTGCCTATGGGTGTGTTAGTAATACTGCAATATCTTATTGCAGGCATGTTCAAACTATGGCCCGGGGGCTAAATGCGGCCCTCAGACAAATTTTTCTTGGCCCTCAGACTTCCAGGTGAATTGGCCCAAATTACCTTGCATCAATAAAAAAAAAAATTACTGCAAGTTTTTTTTTTAAATCTACCTTAATAAAACGAATATTTAATATTTAGTGTGTGGTTTTAAGGATCTTAGCATGAATAAAGACCGGTGGTTCATTCTAACGTGTTAAACACACACATTTAAATTATTCACTGTATTGAGCAGCAGTCTGTGGCCCTCGATCAGCCCTCTGCTTCGTCTGTGTTTAGATATGTGGCCCTTGATGAAAAATGTTTGGACACCCCTGCCTTACTGGGTCCATATCACAGCCTGTGGGTGTCATCATGTGACACCAACACTTTCACTTCACTAATATACTGAATTATACTACTTATACTGAATTCTTCCTTGAGGTTGTGGAGTTGAAGCACAGACTTATTTTGGAGTGTCTGGTACTCGACCAATGCCAAAACAACAGCATATTTCCGGTTAGTGTCCATGTTTTTCACCGAGTTGGACTAAAGAAACAAAATAAAACGGGTGAAGCGTGGACATGACATCATAGCCGAGATCCAAGTGGCAGACGGATGGATAAACAAACGCAACATAATGCTACTGTAGAATATTGTAGAACATTTAAAGCAATAACATCTTCATGGAGACAGACGTTTGATTTTTAATCTGGCTGTTTATGTCACATTAACTATGTTTACATAAAGCTGGTCACAGACTAGAGTAATGGTGATCTATTAGACACTGCGAATGAAAGCAATTTAAGAATTGTGTTCCTGGTGTCACAAATTATGAATAATCATTTAATTGTGATGTTTCTCCTCATAATAATTGTAACACTAATTATTATAATTAATAATAATTAATATGTTTGTGCCTAAACATTAATTTCTGTTTAAAATGTCAGTAATGTAATTCTTTATTGTATAGTAGTTTTAAATGGAAACACAATACAATGCAGTGTTTCACTTTAAAAAACAAACAAAAAACAGTCTAAAACAGTTGGCTGTTTTCATTTTCATTTATTCTGGACAATGCATATTAATGAACATCTGCAACAGTCGCAGTTGTAAATATGTCAAATTAGAGCAAACGTGCTAGTATCCATCTGTCGTCCCGAGACATTTAACAAAGATTGACGATAAATAAATAATCAAATCAAATAAACAACCTGGTACCTCTTAAGAAATGTGACCAAAACAGCAGGAAATAGGTCTGTACTACTTAACAAGACAACTAAGTAGATCTACAACTAACAGCACTCAAGAAGTACTAATAGATATTTAAACAAAAAACAGAAAAATGAATGTGTTTAACGTATAGATAAAATGACTGTGGAAGATATTGTGAAGTTGGAAGGACATTCTGGAGGAGATCAGCTCTCAGGCTTTGCTGCAAACTTGCTGCAAAACCTTATCTATCTTTATGGACACAAGCAACAACATCAGGGCAATTTACAGATCAGATCTGTGGAGAGGCAATCCCACTCACAAGAAGAATACACCAAGGTATTTTAGCAACGAAGGACTAAGATAGATACAGTATGTTTAATGTCATCATCAGAAAGTTGCACTACTTGACTTATCTTAACATTTATCTTTGTTAAAATAAATGTAATCAAGGCAAGTTGGCAAATCACAACTACTCACTAAAAAGGACATCTGATAGTTTTTACTGAACTCGGTGATATGATGATTTTGGGACACTTCTACTTTGCTGAGCCAGTGAAAAAGCCATCTTACGGAATAAATGTGGTATATTTGACATTATTAGGAGCTTGAAGCCTTGAGCATTATGATAATCTTTGGCCCTTGATACACTTTTCATTTAGCGGAGTAGCCCTTGGTCAAATCAGGTCTGACACCTGGAGCTGCAGTCATCTTAAGAGCCGTGCCTTCAGCTCCCATTAGTGCTGCCTTGTACCGTTGGGGACCGCTGGCTCTGGACCTGGAGCTCTCAGGCTCAATCAGTGATACAGATACATGATAGAGTGTGCCACGGCGTGGGCTCACTGTCTCCTGTTGATTTAGTGAAGAAAAAATGCCCTTGAAATACCTTCAATATAAGTTCTTTTTAAACATGACTTTACCTGACAAAAGAGGATGACTATGACGCCGGGGGTTAAGTGTGGTTAAGCCTTAAACCTAGTGGGGGGTCCATCACCTGCTGGTCTTCAAGGATACATTATTGCTTTGCCTGTAAAGTTTCACAGTAAAGTCATTTCCATGGAGACACGTGAGCAGGGCCGTCTCTCATAACATTTGAACTGTAACTTAGCCTGGTGGTGTCACTTGCTTGTCTCCACATTTCATTTTTGGGTTTATTTAGTATTGCGTAACATAACAAATTCAACAAACTGAATTAGAACTTTTATTGCTTCCTCTGTAAAAAGCAAACAAACATCGAAACTCCAAATAATAAGACGGCGAGACAGTATTTATATTTGGTTCTTTGTCCTCTGTAGTTACCAGTCAAAGCTTGTGCCCCTGTGTCAGCTCTGTCCTGTCCCCTACTCTCCAGATGGACTGGTGGACTGCATGGACCCGGACTGCTGCTCTCAGATGGCCTGTCAGGGTCAGAGCTACTGCCGCGGCTCCCCTGACCCCGCCGTCATGGCCGCCCAGCTCCAGAACTCCGCCTCCCTGCCCACCTCCAAGGGCTTCTTCGAGCGCGTGAGCTTCCTGATTGGCCCCGGCGGCAGTCACGTCATCACCTCGGATAACCCCTTCAATAGCAGGTAAGCGGGGAGAAGTGACAGGAGCTTAATTATGGCGGCGGCGCTGGATGTTTGCTGTCTCATTACCAGTGGGAAAGAGGCACCTGTGTTTGTGCGTCCTCTTCAGAACGTCACAAGAATCACTTTGTCTTTGGGAGAAGAGTAGACAAGTGCATGCACAGGGCCCCAGCAGCTAATAAACAGGGGATCAACTGCCTGCTAAATCACTTCAATCTCCAAACATTAAACCAAAGATGCATTTTCATTGCACAAGAAAATTTAGTCTTATAGTTAAGACTTTAGTTAATAATTTAAAGGACTTTTTTTCCATGTTTCGAGCAAATCACGTCTTGCTCCAGTAGCTATTTTGTATAAGCAGCTCTTGAGGTCAAAATATGTCTGCTGCATGCTCTAATTAGAAAGTGTTTTATTTATTATTGTTGATGGTCAATAATCAGGATGTGTGTGTGTTAGCATGCTTTACCGTCTCAGCAGATTTCTGCGCTGGTCTCTGAGAGAAAAAGCGAATGAATACTGAATGCTCTGAATGCATAAGGTAAATGAGGAATGACTTTGGTCCAGTACCACTGCAGACTGTTTCAAATGAACTATTTCTGTTTTTCACTTTTTTAATCAAAGGTGTATTGAAGCAGATTTTGCATTGGAGGATTATTCAGTGTTTTACAGCCATATCACAGCGATTTGATTAGCACAGTGTTTTTAAATAGGCCCATATGTGAAATGACATGGTTCAAGGTAGAGCACTTGCATTTGTCAAAGAAAATACGCTTATACAGAGACTGCTTTAGTTCAGAATTTAATTTAACATGTAGGATTAACATTCAGAAATGTCTGTGTCCATAAGTTTCAGGGTGATGAAAAACTACTCAGTGGACAGTACATTTTTGGTTAATCTGATCATCTTTTACTGACCAATATTTAATGCTCCATCCATCCATTTTCTTCTGCTTATCCGGGGGGGCAGCAGTCTAAGCAGGGACTCCCAGACTTCCTTCACCCCAGATATTTAATGTTTGATTTTCCAATTCTTTCTGTTAATGAAATCAACAATTTTGTGATTTGGGTCTCTACAGAATTATAAAAGAATGATGAAGGCCTAGTGCCGAAACATTGCACCTTTTGTCCTAACAAATCTCACATTTTGCAAGTAAGACAGTGTGCGGGATTTTTCTCTATGGGCTCTACAAAATTAAAATGAATTGAAATAAACAATAATATATTCTAGTTTTTGAATAGTAAACAGCACTTAAAATTACATTTATAACTGAGAAAAATTACTAAAACCAACAAATTCACAAATACTAAACACTCCCTCCAACCAACTGACAAATTTAGTTGATTGCAAAAATGACATTTGATTTTTGAACTGTAATTGTCTGTCTGCTATATTGCATTTTAACTCCCACTCTTCACCCAAACTCTGAATACACAGTATGAATAAATCAATGGTTATACTCCATCATCACCTCGTGCTCTCCACATCTGCTCGGAGCCATCAGAGCGCCGTTTGTTTTGCCGTTGATGGAGAGAGGAGTGATTGCCGGCTGTGTGCACAGGGTTTGGGGAATATTTCCTCCAATAGTTTAAAGTAATCCCGATGTAAATAGCGTGCTTTAGTGAAAATATAGAATGAGGCAGTCCCACCCCAGCCCGCTCCTCCATAATCCCCTGCTCATTGTCTTCAGCTTACTGTCGATTTCATGTCTGGCTCTGGCATTAGCTCCACGGCTCAGAATAGTCATTTGCCTTTTTATCTTTGTGTAGAAGTTAGTTTTATATTCAGAAACATGTTATAAGTCTCTGCAAACATGTGCAACTGTACTTTGGACTGAATTGATTAAGCCTTTTTAAGCCCGCTCGGTTTTCTATTTCCTCTATGGACTAGAAGTGTTCAGACTACCATTCATTGTTTCTAATTTCAGCATAATACATGTAGAGAAAAATGTCAGAGCACTCAGGCAGCCATTTTGACATAGTTGTCATAGTAACACAAGTGAAGACTGGCTGTATTTACATGCACTGATCTGAGTACATCTTGATAGTGGTGAAATCAAGTCCTCATTGCATCATTTAACGCGTAGTGCATATTTCATGCACCGTATACAGCCACAGGGATAAATAGTGCGTACTCTGGATAATTGTCTTGATAGATAGAGGATGTTGTCTTAATGGTGCACTGTGTGACGTTTCTGTGGGAGAGCCCAAAGCTTTCTTGTCTCCATGCAGATGTTATCACTTTGACTGAAATGTTCCATAGTATGAGTCTGTTTCAATCTCACAGAGACAAGCAGGTGATGCCACAAGGTTGTTTGTTTATTTATTTATTTATTTTACAGCACCCTTTAATTGAATAAATGCAAGATATATACGTTGTAATGCCATACAGTGGAACATTCTAGGCAAAGCAGAAACATCACTATGAAACGTGCAGGTGGCAGAGTGCAGCTTTGCAGTATATTTTAACAAATGCTTTATTTCTTACAGCCAACCTATACAGATTCCTTGATGAATGCCATCTTCTAAAATATTAAATCAAAGTGATACTGTTAAAAAGACACAAAAAGCACATGTGTTACCAGTCTAACTTTACATCACATGAAAGTTATGAACGTACTTGTGTAAAAAAGTCACCAAAGAAGGGTGAAACATTTATTTCGTAGACCCAAATCTATCAAAAGTTCTATTTCAGGTGTGTAGGCTGAATAAATCATAGACGCGGGGTGTATGTAAAAAAAGTAAAATAAAATATTGCGAGAAGCTAGCAAACCAGAAGCAAGATTACTTCTAAACTGCATCCATGTGATATCTGAGACGGGAACTGTTACAGGTCATTCTGCCACTCTTTTTTTCTTACCCTCTATGAAACCATTGTGTTCACGAAAAGAATAGGCAGCCCATTTCACGGTGCGCTCCCGTTTCTGAAGACGACGCTAAACTTGTCCCTTCTACACCGCCGAGAATAAAACACGTGTTGTGGTTATAGTTTGATTTTTCTTTTTCACTTCCATCTCCCCGTGGCCCGCCAGCCGTATCGCATGTCCGCACACGAGCTCCCCCATCGGGCTTCCTGATCTCTCCTCAGCCTACGACGGTGAAAAATGCATAAATTTGGTGATTCATTTTTGGCCTTCCAGCAGGTGGTGTGGCTCGGACTCGGCTAGCATCCGTCTGCCTCTTCAAAGATGAATAGACAGGCCCGGGTGAGAGGGGGAGAACTGCCAGTGCGCTCTTAAGTGGCCTTGTTTGGCGAGTGGGTAAATAAAGAATCGAAGAGGGCCGTGCCAAGCGTGTAAGAAGCTAAAGTTGTTGATCATTCCTGTCTCATATACGTAATGACCCGGAGATAAAGAGAGGCGAAATAGGACACCCCTGCCGCACCCGCTGACAAATGTGCAGGAGGTGCGTTTAAGATTCAAGCCCTGTGCTCCGTAAGCGGCCATGATTAAATGTTGATGGAGAAATATAGCCCTGTCGTCTCCTCTCAAACAAAGACCTCATTTAACATAAGAGACACTATAGCACGTATTTCTTCAGTATGGTGCTAGGTAACCTAAAGTGTTTTAGACTTGATTAGAATTCATGGAGAGGTATAAAGAACAGGATGCTCTCCAATAGTGGCCACATTTGGTACTTCTGCAAAAATGATATGGTATTTTCCCTTATGTTATAATAAAATAGTGAAAACAATAGTTAAAAAACTGATTATGACCTTCATCTAATTGTCAAGTCATTAACACGTTTTAAATTAGTCATGATGAAAAGTCAATTGAAAATTTTGTGTATCCAGTACCGTATTTTTTGGACCATAAGTCACGCTTTTTTCATGGTTTGGGTGGTTCTAAGACTCTGGTGCGACTTATGTATTAAAATGTTCACACACGAGAGGGCTCTCTAGGCTTGTGTGTCAGTATCTGCTGCTCCTGTTACTCCTGTACCACTGTCACTGTCACTGTGCATGTCTCCTGCAAAAAGAGCCTCTGTCCTGTCTGTATTATGTCAGTCAATCGCATTACTTCTGAACCACTGAAAATTTTTAATTAGTGACTTCAGTGACAACCAAAACCATCCTGTTGGGATTCAGAAAGGCCGGAATGATTCTAACTGGAACTGATGCTGAGTCTGACGACAGCTACGCAGAAAAGGAAGCGGCGCACCGTTTACCTCCAGAGGTCGCGGAATTGCTCCGAATTGCTCAGATGTGACAAGGATGAAGAATTCAGTGTCAGAATTAGTGATTTGGAGTGAGATGGAGAGTTTGGTAAACTTGTTCTGTTGTTTATGCTATAGTTATCTGAAGTTCATATGTTAAGTCTGTTGTTCTCTGTTCTATTGTTATTACTATAACTTGCCTTTCAAAATGAAATGTCGGTTCCTGGTCCTTTTATATACATTTATATTAATATATAAACATAAATATAATAAATTTCCCTCAAAAGTGCGACTTATAGTCCGATGCAACTTGATCTATGTTATATTGTTGTTCCCTCATCACAAACATACCTGGAGTTGTGTTTTGTTTCATTCATGTTTAACACACAAGCCCTGCATATTGAGGCAGAGCTTTTCTCTCAAACAGAAAACACTTTGCTCTACCTTGTGATGTCATGTGGTTATACAGGAAATGTCCCACTGTATTTTAGAAATCCATCCACCTTCAATAGAATCATTTGGATAAATTGCCAATCTCTACTGGACAAAAGGTAAAGTGGTAGCAGTTATCTAGAAAATTACAGCTTCATGACATCATAAGGTGGAACAGAGCATTTTGAGCTTTATAGATGTAGACAGTCTAATAAGGCAGTGTTACTCAAACATATGTGAATGAAACAAAGCATGTTTCTTATGAGGCAACAGCATTATAATATGGCCAAAAGTTGACAAGATTCAATTTTGTGTAAGGCCAAACCCTTGATCAGTGACAAATAATAAGTTAATGTAGGTCAATATCCAGAAAGTTCAGCGTGAATTTCCCATTTAGTGAAGCGTTATCGCAGTCGGCATAGTACAAAAGTTTTATTTTCTACGAAGGATTTGAAAATGCGAATATGGTACATATAAAAAGCTTTACCCGCAGGCCCTGTCGCTATTATAAATAATCATGCTTTTAGGCCATAATGTTACTATGTATGAGGCTTGCTTTGGTGTGATTCATAACGTCAGGTGTCGACTTGAGAACACTTTTGTGCACAGGAAACCGCGAAGGCAGCCCTGGAGGTGGACAACCTTTGGACCAGCGGCCGATCCATTAGCCAGCAGGGACATTGGGGTAGAGAGAGTGAATGAGTAATGCTCCTCCATGCAGGACTAACTACCACAGAGATGCCCCTAAGAAACCCATTTAACCCAGCCGCTCCACTGCCACTGCTCTTTGCTGGCTAACAGGGGAGCTATATTAGACCGCTGCCAGGTGAGAGAAAGACGTTTTGTTCAACCTTCAATTTCATCATTCAGACCAAGCAAATCTCCTACATATCTTGGACTTGGATAATTCGAACTTTAAATTCGTTTGAACTTATGACACTTCTCTCTAAAGTACAATTCCGTTTATGTCGAGGCGTGGTGATACTTTCTTTCTGAGGCTTTTCAAATTTGTTTCCCCTTTGAGTCGGGTTGCCTGCGGCGTTGGATTCTATTGTTGTGAATCCTCGACAAAGTGCGTCTCCTTGACACATCAGCCTTTTTTGCAGTTCTGCAGAGCTTTGCAATGGCTCTCATCAACTGTCAAACGAGTTCTGATGTGATTCCACTTGATGTGCCTTCTTTCTATTATTGCAGACATGTATTATGTTACAGTTATAGCTTTTCTTCAAGTTTTTACAGGGCTATTTTGCACTAACTTCTACTGTCAGAAATATTACAAATAAGTTGAACTGTGAGGCTTTGGTGTAAGTCCCAATATTAAATCAAAAAGTAGTGTAACACACATGTGACAAATTAAAGCAAAAATTAGTACATTTTGTGTATAGTATTTTGTGTATAGTATTGTGTATTTCCCACATAGCCGCAATTGGTGACAAAATCAGACTGCTGACTGAGACTGCACAATTAATATAATGTATAGTATAATATTTAAGGGTGATTTTTCTGATAAGCAAGAATCAAATTCTTTCACAGATAGAGCTCAACTACAGGGTTACCAGCTTTTACACAAAATAAGACAAGATATCCTGCCATTTGTGGAGGAAATTGTGGTACTTCAAAAACTGCAGCCTTTCCAATTTGCCTATTGCGTCCATTCAAATTGCAATTTTGATTTGATTGCAGAAAAGCATACTATCACTCTACAATCCAGAAGAAAGAGTCTTAGACCTGCAGTCCATCCCTGCTTTGCCATCGGACAAAGCTGAATTTCAAGCGTGTGAACACTTCTTTTGTCCCTTTAGGGTTTGAAAATGAGCTTTCCCCAGTTTTGATACTATGTGAAATCTTAAAGCTTGTGTGTGCCTCAATTGGTTTTCTGTTAAAGAAGAACACAAACAGACCCACATTGTGGGTATAAAACTATTTTTGAAACTTGCTTTTTGAGATGCACCTGTCTATGGTCCATAGTTTGTGAACTGCTATTTTGAAAATGAATCTGAATTATGGATGTCTCTTTGTGAGAGGATGGCAACGAAGGTGCATGATTGTTTGTCATGACCCCTGAAATGAAACGACAAGCTAAAGGGAGAATATGATAATTTATATGACCTTATTATTTCATAGATAAACCATAGATAAAAAGCCCTGCGTTTTTACCCAGGCTGATACAAAGCCCTCTATTTTGTGCGAGTTTTATTCCTCCCGGCATCATAAATTACATTGCCTTAAAAGCTAAACTTGGCTTTGTACGCCACGTCTTGTCTTTGCATAATAGCTTACATAACAGCATTTTTATTAGAAATGGGGCTCAAGCCTGAATTCAGCACATCCATTTATATTTCCTGGAGGAATAAAAAAAACTCTGCAATAAATGCGCAAGATGGTGCAAAAGATACTGTAGACGGCCCTGTGTTTCCTGTGGCTCATTTGGTTGAATTATGGGCTTTTAAATGGAGTAAATAGAGACAGAGAGGAGCTGTGTTAGGCAGATGTTTTCATGACTAACTGCTACTGACGAGAGCGCTTCTATACGTGGGTAAATTACAAGTCCGTGCTAGCGCTGCAGGCGAAGAGATGGCAGTTGGTAAAAAGTGGCACCACGTTGCTTTCCGGCAGCTGGCATTGTTTCTTTGTCTACTGTGTTACATTACTTTATAAACGGTTAAAAACTGTGTTGAGGTCAGGTCAGAACTTAGTGGTAGTTTTCTTTTTAAAGGTGTAGTTTGTAATTTTTCTGGTGTCCTTCTCCCCATGGAGATATTATTCTCAACTCCATTGATCCAAAGGCTGGGGGTTCAAATCCCGCTCTTGACGTGATTCCAGCTCCTGCACATGAATGCTGTTGTTGTGTCCTAGGGCAAGACACTTCACCTCCAGTGTCTGTGTAAACTGGTGTATGAATGTATGTGTGAATGGATGAGCGCTTGATGTTAAGTGCTTTGATTGCTTTGAAAGTGGAAAAGCACTGTATAAAAATGTGACCATTTACCATTTATTCAATTGCAGATATTTCTATATTTCATTCATACCTCTCTGAGAATGTCTGAACTGGTTAGTACTTGGATGGGAGACCGGCTGGGAATACCTGAGGCTGCAGTGGGGCAGCAGTGGCTCTAGTGTTGTTGTGTCCTTAGGCAAGATACTGCAAATTTCTCTAATCTGGCCAAGATTTTAAATCTTATATCAGGTTATTCATCTCGTTTTCAGGTTTATTATCTACTCACTAGTTCTGAGATTGCTTAATTCTAGTCCAGAGGTAGTTTATTTTTAAATAATTTGCTGCTGCATGGACAGATAATTTCACTATATTAAACACAACAGAATCCAAGTACTCCAAAGAAGTAAAAATAAGGAGGAATATAGTTAAAAGACCTTTATATGGCCAAAGCCAACATGTTTTGGCCAAACTGGTCTTCATCAGGGCTTAAGCTTAGGTCTTAGATAATTTCATTACTTTTACATCATTTTCTGATAGATTTAAGTGTTTATCTTTTAAATTTTGGCCAAGCTTTTTTGCCATGTACATTAAACAAACTCCAGTGAGTGAGTGATGGGTGGCGGTTGGAGGGGTTGATGGTGCAGATTTTCAAGACAACTGTGGCTACAATAGAAGCTTACCACCATATGGATATAGGTAAATGAATGATTCAATGGAAAGCACTTAGGGTGTTAAATGCCATACTTTGGAATATTCCAAGCAAATCTATAACATTTAACATGAGGTGACAAAACAAAAAAATAAAGTTCAACAAGTAAGTTTTCTGTTTTTATATCTTTCAAAAACTGTTATTCCCCAGAGAGTTGTACAGACCGCTGCCTCCCGTCTGAAATTATGACATCAAACTCGCAAACACCTTGATCACAGTCTCTTGTTTGTTTACCCTGTCTGTCTGTGTTTGCTTGTACGTGCAGCTTGGCATCCGTCATCAGGGGTCAGGTGCTCACAGGAGATGGGACGCCGCTGATCGGAGTCAACGTGTCCTTCCCTCACTACCCCGAGTACGGCTACACCATCACCCGCCAGGACGGCATGTAAGGCCCACACCACAGCCACTGCGCCTGTCAACAGGCATTAGCATGTGCAAACAAACAGGAGCCGTATGTACACCGGAGCTTGCCCCTGGGTTAATCCATGCACTTTACACTATCCATGAGCATCGATTGGAGTGGCACATGCTATATTTGGAAAAACTATACATCAGTTAGAAAATCCTAATTGCAAATATTGATTTTTGTTCAGTACTAAAAGATAAGTGTAACATGTCATAATCTTGGGCTACGCTCAGACTGTAGCCAAAAATGACCCAAATCCAATTTTTTCGCCCGTATGTGGCCTGTATCTGATCTTTTAATGACAGTCTGAACAATACAGATCCGATTTTTTCAAATGCGATCCAGGCCACTTGGATATGTGGTCCTAAAACCGATACATATCCAATCTTTGACATGCGACTTTAGTCTGAATGGCCAGATCACATTCATCAGGTTCGGAGTCTAATCAATGGAGGGAAAGCGAGGTTAGCGAGTTTATTAATATTTGGGGGGATCGCTGTATTCAGGCCAAATTGGAGGGGTCTTATTGGAACTGGGCGGTTTCTGAAATGATTGGCAAAGAAATGGCAGAGCACGGCTACAGACGGTCCTGGCTCCAATGTCAACAACAAATCAAGAGGCTGCGAGCCAAATACAAGGAGGCTAAAGTCTCAAACAAACAAGGCGGCCGTGGACTTGTCACCTGTCCATTTTACGAAGAACTGGTCCATATTTGGGGGACAAGCCCAGCATTTAGGCGACTTCCTTAAATACTCAGCACTCTCGCTGCGTGTGACATTGTCGTGTCATCCACTGCACATGCGGGACACTTTTGAGGTATTTAAAATTCACACTGGAGATCACATACAAGTTGCATTTAATTGTAAATGTGAACAACCTTGCAAAAAAAATGGATTTCTCAAAAAAATCTGATTTGAGCATTAAGCCCTGCAGTCTGAACGGAGCCTTAGAGTGAAATACTTTTATAAAATGTACAGAACAAGCCTAACCAGCCAGAACCACAAGCTTTTACAAAACTGTACAAGGAAAGTACATCTAAATAATAATAATAATAATAATACTTTCCATTAATATAGCACATTTCAAGACACCCAAAGCGCTTTACAATAACATCTAAAGCCATATCATGTCTTCCCGATTTCAGAGGGCATGATTGACAGGCGGATCTCAGGTAAAAGAAGTGATATATTTAGTTTTAAAGGGTACACACATTTTTGAGGAGAGTGTCTTCTGCTTTTGGGAGGCATGCAAGACAAATCATCCTTTGTAGTTGGATTGTCTCAAATTAGGATGAAGAATTTTCACTCACTATTGTCCAGTTCTTGGCTTTCTGAATTCGAACTGATTGTAGAAGAGACTTTGAAGGAAGGAAGCATTGTAGGACATCACTTTTGTTTGAGGTTGCTCTTAATAACAAGGCCATAAACTACTAAAAAATAAACCACATAACATATAAAGTGTAGAGTATATTGCCTAAGGGTTGCTTATGACTGACTCATACATTCTTATTATTTCAGAGTGACCATTTTGAAATGTTTTATTTACCACAGTTAGAAAGAACAAACATGCACGATCACATCAAGTCACAGCAAAGTATTCATTATGTTTCTGATTTGCGTTTTAGCTAATTACATTCTCCCAGCGTTTCCTGTGACATACTTTGTGTTGTAAAGAGCAGCAGGAGACTGAATGTCTAAAACAAAGCAAGTTAATTTACCACCGGTTATTATTATTATTAGTTTATTTAAATGGGACAAAACAGAGAGCACTGTTACATTTAAAATGATGAAATTAAATGAAAACTGATGCCAAGTCCATCGAGCCAAAGGCGAATTTGCAGACATGGTCCCTAACATAAATCAGGCAAAGGCAGTGAAGATGAACAGTAGGGCTGGGTATCATCAGAAGTTGCCAATATGGTACATACCTCAATACATAGGCCACGATATGATACATATCTCGATACAGTGAGCTTTTGATTCGATATGATATATTTCAAATCAATTCAATACAGTTCAATAAAAAATAAAGGCTAAATCATGGCTGTGATATTAAAAGTGTTTGTTAAACCACTTCTCAGCAAAGTTAATATGAAACACACCCATTTAAATCCTCAAAACAGTGAAAATGTCAAATGTGCTGCATAAAAGAGTTTCCTTCTTCTGAAAAAGCAACACTGTAACACTGTAACAAAATAATTAAGCAAAATATACCAAAAAATACTCTTGGTGATATATCGATACAGCAGCCCCCATATCGATACTGTTTCATCACATTTAACAATACAATATACCAATATTTTTGCACACCCTGATCAACAGTCAGTTATCCACACAAGTTTGTTCATGTGTCCATTGTAAGTAGTTTTGTACATAAATTGACACAGATCATAAATATCCTATCCTATCCACAAAGAAATCTCAAGACGTACCGAGCTGGAGGTGGCCAATCATAATCCCTGCAACAATAGTGCAATAAAATGCTGTACCATGATGTGACTACTGTAATAATATGATACAGAGAGTTAAGTTTGAGAAATGAATAGATCCCTCAATAGTAAATACCAGTTGCCCGCTGCCCTTACAATGCCCACTTACTCAGACAATGAATAATCTGCCCATCTAACAATGCAAGACTTGTACTGGTGCTTATCCCAAACAAAACAAATGAAAAGCACAGCACAATGTTCCCCAGAACAATTCCTCATGCAAATGTCAGCTTGGTGGAGAGGCTGTTTAAAATGCATTGAATCAGCACGGCTAGAATCAATCTGCCGCTGGTGTAGTAAAACATGGGATTACTGTCTGACCTTCTCCAGCTATTACTGTGCACGCCTCTTCAGTAATGGGAGCAAAAGTACAGAGCAGATGTACACATGTCATGTATTATACAAGAGCAGTTCATCTCAGGTGCAAGCTTCAATCCAGACATGTAAGGTGTTCAATCGGTACATGCAATTGTTATCATTTAGCACTTTAAAATACAACTCATTCATCAGTTCTTGGTGTAATTTTACTGCATGTTTATCATCAACCAATCAGAATTTTTGGGAAGTAATTATAGGTAAATGGGCGGAGATGGTGGTAGATGAAAACATTTTCTTTCTGAGCATTCAAGTCGCAAATGCAGGACAATACAGGATTACTCAAACGTGCATGAATCACTCATAATGTAACTCTGTAAACTAATGGTGAGGACAGACCGTTACAAAGTTAAAGCTCATACAAGTTGATTTTGTAATTGCAATTCATTTACTGTAGATGTAGTAATGTTAGCGGAATATAGCATCTTGCAGAAGTTACCAAAACCCAAAAGTCATGAACAGTAGTTGTGAAATATGTCAGCTTTCTGCAGTGTCCCAGAAAGAAACTCTTTAAATAGCAGGATAATAAAATATTAAAGAGTGTAGGTAAAAATGTTTTGGAGGTTGTGCTTATGCGCTGTCAGCATGGAAGAAGAGACAGAGGCAGTGCACAGCTGGGACGACTCTCCAAGCATGGGCCACATATTCAGGGATTAGCTGATTCTTTCTCGCCGATAGTCTTCCTGTAACACTAGTGAGGAGAGCGTGATAACTGGGCGGGGATCATCTCACTTGGTTAGCCAACAGATCGCTGGTAAGAAGGCTCAGTCACAGCTGCCCAGACAGAGAAGAGAAAGGAAAGAGAGCAGGCAAAATGATACTTGTTACATTTTTGGGACTAAAATCTGTATACACACTTAATTAATGTGGACCTGCTTTCCTCTTCGGGACAAAAAATAACGTAAATCCTTTTTTTATTATGACATCCAGGGCATTATTTAAAAACTTTACTATATTATATTACTGTCCCATCATCAAAATACATACCTGGAGTTGTATTTTGCATGTTTTTCACACTTCCATTAATCCCTTGATCCAAAGTTGTCTCTCAGAACTCAAAAATGCTCTGTTCATGTTTCCCCAAATTGTTGCGTCACAGATAAAAATCCAAACTTCTCCCGTTTTAAGCCCATAAACTATCATCATACTTGTTCAGTGCTGAAAGTGTTCAAAACAGATGCATGGCTCTATTAGCATAACAGATTCATTTGTTTTTTTTCTCATTGTTCAATCTTGTTAACAGCACAGCGAGCTCCAACGCCTTCATGCCTCATTGGAAACGAAATGGACTTTTTAAAGCCTGTTTCCCAAATGTTTAAGATATTTTAAGTTAGAAAATGTGAAACACTGATACCAAGGTGATCTTTAAGATACAGGTTGAAATAGATGATGATTGGGGTTTAGGTTAAAGGTCCTATATTGCGCAAAATTTACTTTATTGTGAGCTTTAAGCCATGTTAGAATGTTGTTACCTCTTAAAAACGAACCTGGAGTTGTCTTTTTTTCATTTATATGTTTTATATAATCCTCCATTTGTCACGTGGAAACAAAGGGAGGACCCAAAATGCAAGACTGCTTTAAAGTTCTTTAATAACAAACAAAAAATGCTCCAAAAAAATCCATAAATCCAAAAATCCAAAAATTGAAACTAAACTGCCGTGACAAAAGAGAAGACGAGACACTGGCAGTGACAATGACAAATACAATGGACCAACAAAGGGCAGAGGAGAACACAGGGTATAAATGCACAGACAATCAAACAATCAAGACGGGAAGTAAAGCTCAAAACTACAAGAAGACAGGAAAATTTCTAAGTAAAAGGCAAAAACAACCACTACAGAACAATGAACCATGACAGCATTAGTAGTCTATCCACATCTCCAAAGCTTAAAATGCTCTCTTCAACTTTGTGATGTCATGAAACTGTAGTTTTCAAGTTAACAGCTTACCTTTACCATTTGTTTGTATGCATATGGAGTTTAAAAACACAGTGGTGCACTTCCTGTACTATCAGATTACATTACAAGGTGTCAAATGTGTGAATGAAATAAAACACAACTCCAGGTAATATTTGTGATGATGAAACAACATTATGACAGCGCTTAGAAAATGGTGTAATATTTAAAGTTAGGCATAGGTCAGTGAAAATAAAGCAAACCAAACCAAAAAGCATGGAAGTCTAAAATGAGTGTGTGTCTGTGTGTGTCCATGCAGTGTCACCGCGCACATGCCGTACCCTCTGGTGCCACTTGTGCTGAATATATAGAGCAGCACTTCAAAGACTCGCCCTTCATTTCCAAAGCACAGACTTTTCCCTGAGTAATGGGCCACTAATTAAAAGCAGTTCACTGGTGAGAGCTGGCAGGACCGCAGACCAAATGTGACCAGAAAGCCTGCACACAGTACGCCCGCTTTAACTACGGTCATGCACGAGACACACAGAATAATAATGTGATAATAATAAACACTAGGGCTGTGCAGGAGGAGCACTTTACTTCTGACAGAACTCATTGGTCCAGAAGTCAATGTTTATTTTATCAGGCTTAAAACCATCATACATGATCAGACAAAGGGCTTAAAATACATTGTTTTAGACCATGAAGTGTGCAAGATTTACTCTGTATTTTGAGCTTAAAGGTGCACTATGCGACTTATCTTGTCTCTATTGACTTATTATTTATTGCTTTGCCTGGAATGTACTACAGCCTGGCTTTAAACTTACCAATTTATTGCTATAATATGAAAATATATTGTACAAAACATAATATATCCATGGAGACGAGCAGGTAGTAGAACCTCAACCAGAAATGTGACATCATACGCTTTTAAAGTAGAGCTAGACACTAGGGATGTAACAATAATGAAATATTGTGATATTGTATTGTCAAAAGTCTCACAATAATATCAAATTACAAGTACCTTTGCTTAAATACATGGTTTTATATTAGCAACAGATTATAAACTTAGGGAACTACATATCCCATGATTCATTTCAATGCAGACAACATGAAGCGAAATGTTTTATTTACTTGAATTCTTGGGATTATGATGGAAATAATTCACACCAAAATCTTGTCAAGGTATTTTAAAAGCAAAAAAGTCTCTTATCTACAATTATATTTGCCTCTCCAAAGTATCGCAGTAAATATCATACCGTGAGATGCATATCGTGTTCGTAATTCTTTATTTTTCCAGACTTTGTCCCTCTTCCCCCTCACTCTTTTCCTCCAGGTACTGTCCAAGTTAGCAAGTCTATTTGAAATGTGGTTTTAACCAGAGTTTAGGCGTTTAGTCACACTTACTCTTTATTCACTTGTGTTAAAAATAATAATAGTAAATTGGTTATTGGTGTTATCTTAAGGAAAATAGAACTTAATACTCACATCAGAATCAGTATTCTACCTGCATGACTATCCTTAATATTTGCTGTAGCTAAAAGAGAAATAGCTTTCTCAGCGCTGGCACATCTAATCTAGGTAAACATACAAACAAAGCCAGATTGCAGTTAGAAAAAATACAATAAGAATCCTCAAGTATGTGATCTGCATATATAGTACAGTACAGTGATGCATGTAGCAGTTGCCTAAGTGCACCGTCTCATACTGTGTTCAGGTTTGACCTTGTGGCCAATGGCGGCGCTTCCCTGACCCTGAGTTATGAGCGCGCTCCATTCCCCAGCGTGCAGAGGACAGTGTGGCTGCCCTGGAGCGTCTTTCATGTGATGGATACTGTGGTGATGAAGAGAGAGGCCAACGACATCCCCAGCTGTTACCTCACGGGTCTGCTCCGGCCGAACCCGCTCATCCTGGCCACGCCCCTGTCCACGCTGTACAAGACGTCAGAGGAGGACAGCCCTATCATCCCAGAGACACAGGTAGACTCCAGCACACGCTTCTATGCATCTGTGCCAATTGGTACGTTTATTTTAAAGGTGGCACCTGTCACTTTTTGTTGGAGATAGTCAAGCTTTGCCTAGAATTTTCCACAGTATGACACTAAAGTATTAGCCTGATTTATCAGTCAGTTTCACTTCATGGAAACAGTCTCACCTTGCAGCTTTAGAATTTGTTTCCTTGACGGTAGGAAGGAACGTCTTTCATTTAACCAATCACTGCTATTTGGTCGTGATGTATGTAATGTGCCACTATCGGGGCTAACTGGTATAAGCCTTTACCAAATCCGATAGAAAGAAGGGCAATAACGTCTTTCCCCTTGATAATTCACCAAACACTCTCTTTGTTCCGGCTTTAAATCTTTGATCTCGGGAATTGTTGCCAACACAGAATGTCTGTCTTCATCTACATCCATCTTGACCGCTTTGTTTACTGTTGTGTTGTACCACAAAAGGGACCCAGACAGAAGCTGGAGTTTGACGTCATGGCTTCACAGCTCTTCACTGATTGGCCGGTGTGTGGTCTACAACTTCCGGAGGTCTTGCAAACCGTCTAGTGTATTCTGATTCCTGACCTAGTCTCTGGAGAGAAATGAAATTGAGAGTAGGCACTAGGTGGCGCCGGCCTGGCTACTAAAGTAGAACTGTCATTGAAGAATGGGTTTTAAGGAAAATCATTTTACCACAATGTAACATTTCCTCTATGTTTTTAGGTTTTATCTATTATCTATGCTCCGTGTTAACAAGTAAGGCCACATCCCCTCTTTAAAGGTGTTTTATTGCTCAAAAAGACCTTGGACAAAAAAAAACGTTCTTACTGTGGATGGGGTCGCCTCACCACCGATCTGACCTGTAGCTTAGATATATCTTCGAGTGATTTATTCTGTAATTATAAAATACTGTCCCTTGTCCATTGACACAGAATGGATAACTTTAACATTAATGCCATGACTATTCAATAACAGCACCATGGAAACAAACAGGTAGAACTTTGAAGAACTAATCTAGTTTATTCCTTTAAGAATGTATGAATGATTGGAAACAATTTAAGGAAAATAACTGGGAAATGCCTGTTGATATTAGAGACAAAAAGACAAAAGGTCTAGTAAAAATCAGTTCAACAGAAGTGATGTATTTATCTTTGAATCTCCATAACCTTTTTTGATTCATGATATCTAATAATTCATCCTACTAATACTAATACTAATACTACAAATACTAATAGTAATACTAATAGCTATGTAGATTTAAAAAATCCCAGTCATACTAAAATGTCAGAGGCTACGTGCAGATAAGTCTGACTGCATCACATTACACTGCCTTTTATGGTCACTTCCAGGCTGGTCGGCCTATCAGATTCTTTTAAATGACTTCAATTTGACCCACATTTCTCAGGCATCAGACGAGCGACCGCTTTGTTGGAAATACACAGACAGCGGCTAATGATAACGCAGCTTTATCTCCCTTCTCCACTGCATCGCCCACTTATTTTAAACAGTCAAATTTGCCCTTGCCTTTGAGCTGTGATTGAATTGCATAGACTCCCCAAATGTTAAGCCATAAATTGTCTTTGATAAATTCTGACAGCTGGTTTCACGGAGGTCACTGATTTTCTGTTTTGGGTGGAAATCGTTGTTTGAAATCCCCAAAATAATAAGCGTGGTGCTGAGCAAACAGTAAAGCTTTCTGTTTTTGAAAAGCTTAAAGAACACACATTGTGCTTCTGTCTGCTATATAGTTATAATCTATGACAACCATGGATCATTTGCAATCTCTTAGCAATAATTGCAATATTCATCTAAAATGACTTAATAAAAGAAATAGGTTCACTGACTTCTGCATTAGAAACTGTGGTGCACATTGCGAGTTGGCATTGCAGTGTCACAACAAAGAGCCATACAGCTGTCGGCACCTCTGATGGATAGTTGCACATCACCATAGTGAGTAGCAGATTTGTTTTCATTTGTACCAAATTGACTATGCAATGCTGCCAAATCCTAGGCACCACCTAGTTCCTCCACTCAGTTTACTTTCTCTCCAGCGACTAGGTCACGAATCGGAATACACTAGACGGTTTGCAAGAACTCCAGAAGTTGTAGACCACGTACCGACCAATCAGCAATGAGCTGTGAAGCCATGACGTCAAACTCAAGCGCCTGTCTGGGTCTCTTTTGTGGTACAGCACAACAGTAAACAAAGCGGTCGAGATGGATGTAGACGAAGCCATGTTGGCAACAATTCCCGAGATCGAGGATTTAAAGCCAGAACAAAGAGAATGTTTGGTGAATTTTATCAAGGGGAAAGACATTATTGCCCTTCTTCCTACAGGATTTGGTGCATTATATACGTTACAACCAAATAGCAGTGATTGGTTAAATTAAAAAAGTGCCCGCCTATCATCGAGCGAACAAATCTTAATGCTGCGAGGTCAGATGGTTTCCATGAAGTGAAACCAGCTGATGAATCAGGCCAGCCAATTAAAAAAACAAAACTGGAGAATGAATGAAGTGCAGAGCAGTGGGTGTGGACCGGTGATGGTGAAAATAGGGGTCAATCTGCAAAATGGCTTCTTGAAAATTAAGAGATTAAAATTAAAGATTGCTCAAACATGAATGACTTCAAATAGAACTTCGAGAGGGTAAATGTTCATTTTGCAAATTGGACATTCTTTATAGTGGAAAGTTTGAGAGAATTCAAGAGTTGTCATTTATAAACTTGTAGATGTAGACGTTTTGGTTCATTCCTTACACTCTTAAGTGTGCATTTACACAGAAGCACAATGTCCTTGAAGTCATTTAGGGAAATATTTGTTTTTAAATTAAGTCTTCTAATCCTGACAAAAGCCTAATTTATTTTGCCTGACTATGAGGATTGAGCTAAACAAAAAAACAAACAGTATCACCAATGTGAAAATCCACCTAAGCAAAAACCTAAACATTGTAGATATATACACTGAGTACATTTATGATTCTCATACATTTGAATCAGAGTCAGACTTTCCACAAGCTTAATTTGTTACATAAATCAAAATAACATTGTGTTAGAGTGAACTGTACGTGAGGTTTTGATTTTAACCTGATAAAATTGACCTACATATATGTGTCTCCAAATATGAGGTAGACATGTTCAAATCAAATATAGCCTTTACTGAGAACAACTGGAATACTGTTTAATTATTCATTTTAAAAACACTGGACATTTATTTATGGTTTTATTTTGTGTTTTAGGATATTATTCAGTATAGTATCTCATAAATTATATATAATATATATAATATATATATATATATATATATATATATATATATATATATATATATATATATATATATATATATTATATATATTTTTTTTTTTTTTTTTTTTTTTAATTTTTTTTAATTTTTTTTTTGCTACTAAATGGTTCAGGTTAGTATACTCTTGACAATAAAAGGATCACTTTTTAAATGGCATCCAACATTGTTCTGGTCACTGGTCAGTTCAGTAGCTGATGAGTTGAGTTTCATTTGTCTTGGTTACTGAAATAAACAGGTGAACTATAGTGGCAACAATGAGTTAACCCCCAAAATATGAATGATTTTGGGAGTCGTTTTTCTCTCCTTTTGTATTCAGGTGGGCTCAGTATGGGCACAGTAACTGCCTTTATTTTTTGTGAATATTTTTGAGTGTATTTCTTGCACCTCTGGTAATGATCAGTTGGAGAGGGCCACACAGCCTGGGGGTATATACAAAAAGCATAATATAAGAAAGAAAGTAGAGATTTTTCCTTTCCTTCCTGTTCACTTCCTAACATAAATCACTGTTAATGAACTGACCTCCAGGTCCTCCATGAGCAAGTGGCCATCCCGGGCTGTGACCTGAACCTGGTGTACCTGAGCTCCAGAGCAGCTGGCTACAAGCCCATCCTGAAGGTGCTGCTGACCCAGGAGCGGCTGCCCTTCGGCCTGATGAAGGTGCACCTGATGGTGGCCGTCATGGGCCGACAGTTCCAGAAGTCTTTCCCGGCCTTCCCTGACCTCTCCTACACTTTCATCTGGGACAAGACCGACGCTTACGGCCAGAAGGTGTACGGGCTGGCCCAGGCTGTGGGTGAGTGGACCTGCTGGGGAGCATCTACAGGGCACGTGGAACATTTTTATATTACAAATTAATTCAGGGACGGGTAGTATTAAAGAAGAATATTAGGCTCCAGTCTGCTATACAGCTATAATTTATGGCACTCCTGAAGCATTATTTTACATTTTGGATGTTTTAAACTGTAATATTGATCTAAATCAACTTAATGAAAGATGCAAGTCTGCAGACACTGCAGAAACCTATGTGTATCACAAAATTAAGACAAAAACTCTCTTGTCTTGATTGCAGGAAAAAGAAGACTGCATAAATGACACTAAATACAGCTTCTGGGTGGGTAAAAGGGAAGGGGAAACAATTGTAACATGGTTCAAAGCTCCTCCAAAGTTACGTCCACAATTTTTAACAAATTGTCCTTTTATTAAGAGTAGTTTTGTAATTATTTTCCCTTTTCCCCTTATTTTTTACTTAACAGCACTCTTAAATGTAAAAAAAAAAAAAAAAAACTTTTGTAGGTGTGGTTCGTCAGTTCCGAACCTTTACTTCTAGACTTAGACTTCTAAATCTAGTCTAGTCTTCAAAATGTTTAAAAGTAGGATTTTATATAATGTGTTTATCTATCTTTATATCAATAATAAATCAATGCACCCACACTTAATGGATAGTAGTTTCTGAGTACTATTACTTGAGTACTATTTTTTATTTGCTTATAATAAACCATATCTGTCAATAAAAAACTCACAACCTTAATGATCCCAAACAGCATATCTTTGCACCCTGAGTTTCAAACGGACCTTTTCCTCCTCCCCTGTACAGTTATCAGAGTATCACTTATGCCCTTTAGATTCCCAGCCCCCGTGTTCCATCAGATCCTCCACGGGCCTCCAGGCGTTCAGCTCAGTGTGAAGCACAGAACAGAGGACGGGAGCAAGAGCACGGCCCAAAACTATCTTTGTCTAACCCTGAGTCCTCTGTGAAGTCTGCCCTCCACACCTCTGATATAGAACCACTGTGTACCGCTCACTCATTCAGACAGCCAGCTCCCATTTGTCCCAATAATCCTGTTTGTGCTGAATAAGCAGTTTGCCCGGATAATGGCCCTTTGTCCATTAACACTGAATTGATGCATCACATTATAACGGGTTTTATTCTGCTCGTTATTAGTCTGCTGACAAACAAGTCACAGCTCAATGGGACCTGTGCACAAGAGAATGGGCAATACACTACACGGACAAAATGAAATCTGATTACACATTTGAAATATACTACCAGTCAAAAGCTTGGACCCCCTCTCACTCAGTGCTTTTTTTCCTTATCTTTACAACTTCCTACAGTATATATAGACAGAAGACCACAAATATATGACGTAAGAAGTCGTGACTTGGACTCGAGTCACAATTTTTAGGACTTGACTTGATAAAATGGACTAAGACTTGGGACTCAACATGGACTTGAAGGTCAGTGACTTGGGAAGCACTTTTAAATCTGAATTCTTTCTATTCTGACCATAATGATTCACACTAAGATCTTGTCAAGACATTTAAAAAGGAAAAATTAGCTACATTAAATTCTACAACTCTTATATACTCTATAAATACTCTTATATAAATATACAATGATTTTTTTTAAGTACAGTTTATCTTAAAATTCATAAAAGGACCCCTAACCAAAAAGTTACATAGTGCACCTTTAAAGATGTACTATTATACATAATATTTAAAGTTACAGGCTCAACTTGCCACCTTGCCTTCATGACCGATAATGCTTCTCTTATAATGATCTACAGTACTTGTAATTTAAAACATTTATACCTAAAATCTTTTCATCCCTATAGTTTTATTTCCAACACACCTTTTGTAATTACCGTATTTTCCGGACTATGAGTTGCTCTGGAGAATAAATCGTACCAGCCAAAAAATGCGCAATGAAGAAGATAGAAACATATATAAGTCGCACTTTTTGGGGAAATTTATTCTATAAAATCAGAGACCAGGAACCGACATTTCATTTTGAAAGGCAAGTTATAGTAATAACAATAGAACAGACAACAACAGGCTGAATAGGTGTTAATATGTTAACGCAACATATTAACAGTTATTCAGATAATTATAGCATAAACAACTTAACATAAGTTTACCAAACTCACGATCTCACTCCATATCACTAAATCCATAGAATTCTTCCTCGGTGTCACTTCTGCACGACCTCCAGAGATAAACCATAGATCCATGAGGTAAACGGAGCGCCGCTTCCTCTTCTCCATCGCTGTCGTCAGACTCAGCATCAGTTCCAGTTAAAATTACTCTGGCCTTTTTAAATCCCGACAGGATGGTTTCGGTTGTCATTCAAGTTCAGACTTTGTCGATTCATCCAGTGACTTCCAGGAAAGTTGCATGGCGCACCCGCCCGGTTGCCATGAAGCTGTGTTCTCTCCATCCCCCCTTTCCGCCAGTCCCTCACAAGTTTCTCGCTCACTCCAAACTTTCTTTCTGCTGCTCGATTACAGTTTTCAGCTGGATATTTTACTATATGCAGCAGAACAGCGGCTTTTTCTACAGGACTCATGCGCAGTAGAATGCGAAGTGGTACAGGAGTAGTACATAGTCAGTCTGAAAATTTTAATATATAAGTCGCACCAGAGTATAAGTCGCAGGACCACCACCAAACCATGAAAAAAAGCGTGACTTATAATCCGAAAAATAAGTCTTATAGTTAAAATATATATGGCTCTTTTTGTCCTGCTTTCATGAGACATCCACAATATACTTCCCCAGTAAATTTATTCCACTTTTTACTGCTCATGAAATGGGTTCATGGGTTTCAGAAAAATTATGCCTTCCTCATTTTAAGTAATTTGTGAGGACATATTTCCGTTCTTAAGTTATAACATTTTCATTTGAATTGTGTTATTGCTACAACGGAGGCACATTTTCTTGCCAAATTCTTCAAATCAGGGAGGAATTCTTATGCTTGAAACCCATGAATACATCACAAATTTGGATGCAATGTGAAAGAAACAAAAACAACAAGCCCAGCCTGTGTATTATCACATTATCATAAACTAACAATACATATATATACACTACGCTGTATACTGTCCACATAGGTTCAATCAGAATCCATCCAACTCTCCTGGCAATAAACCCTACTTCAACTCCCAGATTCTGTTTATTTGTGAACTCCGTGTCTCTGTAACCACGTGGCGTTATCTTAGCAGGTGTGTGAATCCCCCGGTGGTGCGTTTTCTGAGGGCCACTGTTCTTCTGCTGACTGCTTTGTTTTGCATGTGTGACTTTTCAGCTTCCCTTCGCTGACTACATTATTGCTTAAGGGAAAACTGCCTGGAAAAAAGTCCTTCAGAGGAGCGCTGTGGCAACAATAGAAAACTCGTGATAAATGATCCCAGAATTTCAGCTTTGAGTTGTACATCGCAAAGTATCTTAATTACGTTCTTTAGTGTGGATTACGATGTCTACGCAGCAGCGGCGTCGCGTTATGAAGATATGTAAAGGTATTAAAATTCCTCCCGCTCTCAAATGCGATCAAGGTAATCAGCTGCCACATCACGGCTTTTATGATATTACAATAATGCATCCTATATGGGGGTTTTATAGCTTAAATATTTCATCTGATTCTACATGCGATTTTTATGTTGCATTTGCATTTACAGTGGAGGAAAACAGACGCTTGGTTCGATATGCGCAGTCCCCCGTGGGTTTGCTGAAATCATCCCAGCTGGAGGGGATTATACTGTCAAAGAGAGCGCAGGCAGGGTAGCACACGTGTTGTGAATGGTCCATGCACAATAGGTTCAATTGATACTGTTAATATGTGCGTTTTTTGTGTGCCATAGTACAAGCTTAATCATTAATATAATGATTTTTTTTTTTTTTTCTTTATAGATATTGACTGATGAGCTTTGCTGATGCAGCTCAAACAAAATATTGGTCTATGGCTGGTTGATATGGTGATAAAGTCAAGGAATCAGATCAAATCATGACCTGATTCCTGTGGTGAATTTGGTGTTTCTCTGTTTAAAGGTGCACTATGTAGCTATGTCGTTTCCACGGAGATGGCAATAAACTTAAAGTACCGTATATTTCGGACTATAAGGCCCACTTAAATTCCTTTAATTTTCTCAAAAGTCAACATTGCGCCTTATCATCCGGTGCGCGTTATGTATTCATTCTGGTTGTGCTTAATGACCTTGAACCAATTTTATGTGGTACACGGCCCTCAAAAATCTGTCAAAATGTTATAGTACGACTTTGCAGCTGCACTGCTTGATAGACTGTCAGAGCATTACCGCTACCGTAGTCAGGAGTCTCGCGGAGTCATGTCCTTCAGTCCGACAGATGCTGACCACATCAGTGCACAAGGAGTGAGCTGTTTTTCTCAGCGTTTATAGTTTATGCAAATGAGCCATGTGGTCTTCAGTTTTGTTTTTTAAAACGTAAACAAATGTGCACAAAGCTGCATTAAACATATTATTACTCAATGTGTTTTTGAGTCCTCCTCGTAGGAAATTAAAAAAAAAAACTTAAATTATCCACCTACATTCACATTCATAATACACATTCACCAAGACAGGGAAACAATGCTGGGCAAATTATGCCAATAGATCTTGGATGCCTGGGCTAAGGGATCAGTCTCAAGTGTCGTTGGTTCGTTTTGCTTAATGCGCCTTATAATACGATGCACCTTATGTATGAAGATAGTCGAGAGTATTCAACATTATTGATACTTATAGTCGGTAGCTGTTTTCGAGCTAGTTTGTTTGATGCAAAAGCGTCTCCACCCCCCACCTGAAAAGTTACGTAATGAACTTTTAAAGCAGCTCTACACTTACACACTTTTCACTATTCACTCCTCCGATTTGTCCCCCTCAGGCAAGCCTGCATAAAGATACAAAGAGTACATGTATCGGAATAGAAATGAAAATTTAATCTGGCTCCAAAAAATGTATGTATTTACATATACAGTATATTACCACTATTCTGACCAGTGCAGACACTTTAACATTGATAATCTCTACGTTTAAAGGTACATACATTATGTTAGTATTGTGAATTCAGTTGGGGATTTTCCTTTTTTAATGAAGCTGTATATAATGAAGTCAGGCAATTCTTTTGAAAGTAGGACCGTATTTTAACGTCCGGCAATCGCCCTCCATTGCTATTGTAATGAAGCAATTCATTTCTAAATATTGTGTCTTTTTGGATGGGAGAACGTCCTCACAGAAGCCTTCTAATCAGGAAGGAATCAGAAATCCAGTACTTATGCTTGTATTTTTACTGTAATGTAGTTAGTACTGTGTTGTTTTTCATCAAACAGGCAGGTAGATGACATTTTGTGTATATATATAATGTTTTGTGTATATAAATAATTCCCCTTGTGGATCAATAAAGTTTTTGTCTAAGCCTACAAAGTATACCAGTGTAAAGTTTGATTTCATTAGATTTTTAGATTTATTCCAGATTTACTCAAATAATTCGTTTTAGCTTTGGTCTGGTTTTAGTCAAAGAAACTTGAATCTACTCTAGTCTCCACTTGCCCCTTTCTCTCATTCATGTTTAGTTTTATTATTCAACAAAAATATTAGTAGTTTTATTTATCTAAAAGTAAATATCTTTTAGTCACAGTTTTAATCAACTAACATCATTTGTGATTACTTTGATTTAGTTTTAGTCTACAAAAATATAACACTGACAAAAACTCTGAGGAAAATATTTTAGTCAACAAAATAAACTAGTGCTGTCACGATCCGAAACTTTCAAACTCAATTTCAATAGCAACAAAAGACTTGATAAACAGTAACGATTCCGACCCTGGTGAATGCTCCTTGGTATTTGTACCCTGACTAACCCTGCCTTTGCCCTGCTCCCCTCAGTGTCCGTGGGCTACGAGTACGAGTCATGCCTGGATGTGGTGCTGTGGGAGAAGAGGACGGCCGTGCTGCAGGGATATGAGCTGGACGCGGCCAACATGGGAGGGTGGATGTTAGACAAGCATCATATTCTGGATATTCAGAATGGTAAGGATATTACAACTATTACTTCTACAACTGCTGTTACTAAAACTTTTGATATTGTATAATATAGAGGCTGGGCTTAGGCACATCAAGCCTGTAACTCAAAAACATTGACTTTCGGGGCCTGTTTACATGAGAACACTTGTGGGTAAAGTGTCTTTCGTTTAGACGGTGATGGCGCTTTTAGGGCTTAAAAACACAAAAATGTGAAACTACCCTCCAGAGTTGAAAAGGTGAATACACTCCACTGTAGCATTTCCATCTACACTGCACACGACACAAAACTCTGGTCAGATTTGCTCACGTCCAGTATGCGTTTACGTCACATACATACAGTACACAGAAACCTGGCCCGCATACCCAATTGAATTCCACACCCTTTTGCGTTACCGTATGCACACAGATTTCCTCCCAAAAACGGTCATCTAAACGCGAAATAAAAAGGGAAGACGCAACGCCACTTTTGCGTCTTCTGTTCAGACCGTCATCATATAAACGTAGTAGAGATGCGCGGATGGCGGTTACAGCCGCGGGTCGGGCGGATGACGTGATGAAAAATTATGTTTTAATTAAATTCGGGTGGGTGGCGGTTTCACTACTCAAATAAAAAACTCTGAACTGAGCGGATGGCGGGCGGGTGCGGTTTTGAAAACTGGTCAAAAACTGTGGTTGCAAATGGATAGCGGGCGGATGATGAGTTTTGCGATGCGGTTGCGGATGAAAACGTAGCCCATCCGCACACCTCTAAAACGTAGCCTTATTTTATTTTTTCATAGTTTGTTGTAAAAAAAAATATGTAAATAATTTTTTTATGACATTATATTATTGTTTTAAAAAGACAAATATCCAGTGTAGAAAACCTAATAAAAGTACAGAAAATACATAGTTAGAATAATAATTTTGACGCTGTATCCCCATTACAGTTCCTTTTGTTTGTGGTATTCAGAACACAGTTACTTTTTTTTTTACTAGTAAATTAGGCTTCAAACTGAACTGTATTGTGTATTTTAGAAAAATAGAAGTCACATGCCATGCTTAACAAGCTATTTTAACCCTCTTTCACGTTTTGACACTATAATATAATGCAACTCAGCCCCCATTCACACTAGTACGTATTCGAGTCGTTTTCGTCCACACTAATCCGGTATAAAACGACTCCAAAGACAGAACGATCTGGTGCTGCCAGCTCCCATGAATTCATCTGATCTGGCACTGTGTGTACGCCTGAAAACGTTGAGACGCTGATGTAGATCTATGCGTTGCGAAGTAATTCACCTCCAACACGCTAAGAGGCTAGAATATATGTCCATTCATATAAATGGTCAATGCATATGACCTGCAGACGTATAATCTCTGAAAAGTTTAACATGAACAGACTCACCATCAGCAGAACACCCCTGTGTCACAGAAAGAACACTCATATTCCACTGAGTCGTGTCCTTTAGTCTGACAGAAGCTGAACCGTATTAGTGCACAAAAGTGAGCTGTTTTTTGAGCTCTCAGTTTATACAAATTAGCCATGTAATTTTAAATTTTGATTCTGTAAAACGTAAACAAATATGCTCAAAGCTGTGTGGATAGGGAAGGCTTGCAGACACAGAAACAACGTGTCTGGACGCAGATCGTTTCCGATACGGTGATTCGTTTCAGTGTAAATGTAACCTCAAAGTCTTACAACACAATAAAATACTCTTATTGAACCATGTAACACAATACATTATGAAATACACTTTGTTGCAGGTATTCAGTATTCTTCCCAACACTGCAAATATCTCATTTCCATCTTTGAAGTATCAGTTGGAAAAAAAATTGGTGCGACTCTAAAGTAGATACAAGTTTGTTTAGTAACGCCTCTAAAAACTGTTCCCACGCACTATATACTCAATGCCAGAAGATATGAAGATAAAAACAGCCTCAATAAACAGAACATTTTCAGATATAAAGAAAAATATATGTAATAAATTGCAAATCAGGCTTCAGCGCAGCAAAATCAAGCAGCAGATCTAAGTTGAAAAGTAAATGTAACTTTATAACTTACGATGTGCGATAACATGACTATTCCCTCGGTATATAAAAATGACATAGTGGCGAAGACTTTGTTAACTTTCTGCTCCCTCGAAAGTCCAGATTAGATGGACTTTGTGATGTATAGAATTAGAAGCTGACAAAGTGGCGCTCTTATTGAAGTTTACTCAGTGGCCACAGCAGTAAAAAGAATAATCTAATTGGCTAAAGCTATAGGAGACACGCTTGTAATATTGGATCTTGTTTGCAGTGTTTTTATTGAGTTATTGTTTCCTTTTAACGCACATCTCCACATTAGTTTTCAATATAGTTCTGCATGAGATATTTCAGTCCCTTAGGCGTTTCTTACGGATAGTGTATACATCTGTGTTCTCTCGGAATAATTAAGAACTTTTTCATGCCACTTTTCCACTTAATATGTTATGTGATATTTATACTCAGACCACTGTCAAGGTCTCTATAGAGTTAAGTAAGAAATGCATGTATTAAACTTGTCTGCAAAGTTGAGCTCACTTCCATTTGGTTTACGGTGATATCACATCACAGCAGAGGCGCGCTAAAGTCAATTTAATGGAGATGTAAAGGGAGATTAGATTAATATTGTTACCATGCAGAATTTTGAGTGGTATGGAGAGATTATGTGCATAATCACCCATCTAACTGATGTGCTTCATAACTTGTAAAATGACAAAATAATAGATTCAGAAACAATTGGCTCATGTCCCAATCCCCAGATTGTTGAATATGAAAACAACCAACCACATTCACATTCTCACATTGTTTGGGGGAGTGATGCTAACTGAGGGCACTGCTCCATCTGAAGCTCTGTTACCCAAGTTAGACTTTAATTTGAACTTTTAACACAATCTGACCATAATTATCTGATTTCACTGGAACTACAACAGCTGATCTGATGTGTACTGTTAAACATGTCCCTCTCAAATTACATTACAGTCACAAGCTTGTTAGCATTAAGCCGGGCATACACTGCATGATTTTTAGCACTTTTTGAGCTGATTTTTCACTCGTGCAACTGTTTTGTAGCCAGGCTGGTGCACCTAGTGCCTCCACTCAATTTCATTTCTCTCCAGGGAGTAGGTCAGGAATCAGAATACACTAGACGGTTTGCAAGAACCCCAGAAGTTGTAGACCGTGCATCGGCCAATCAACGATGAGCTGTGAAAACATGACGTCAAACCCAAGCACCTGTCTGTGTCCCTTTTGTGGTACAGCACAACAGTAAACAAAGCGGTCGAGATGGATGGAGACGAAGCCATACATTCTGTGTTGGCAACGATTCCCGAGATCGAGGATTTAAAGCCAAAACAAAGAGAATGTTTGGTGAATTTTATCAAGGGGAAAGGCATTATTGCCCTTCTTCCTATCGGATTTGGCACATTACATACGTCACAACCAAATAGCAACGATTGGTTAAATAAAAAAGTGCCCACCTACCGTCGAGCAAACGAATCCTAAAGCTGCGAGGTCAGACGATTTCCACAAAGTGAAACCAGCTGATGAATCAGGCTAACTGTTTTTGGGATCGGGAGTTTTCACTTAATCATGTGTCGTGCTTTGTGTGGTAAACATGGGGTAACAAGAACCGATTAATACCTCACGACAAGCTGCCCATTGGCAATTGTAGGTCGCAAGAATATCAAACCTGTTTCAAATCCAGTCACCTCTTGTGAGGGTTTCTCACTGTTGCAAGTCATTCATACAGTGTGAGACATGAATCGTGAGCTGTGAACTTTTAAACCTGAAGATTTAGTTGTACAATTTAAGCTGGGGCTGAGTGAAATGATTGAAAATATTGCACAGTGTATGTCCGGCATTAGTCAACAGTTTTTCAGTCACTCTCACCTTTTTGTTGAAAATGAAACTTATAAACAAGACCATGAACACTTGTACTTATCACAAACGCCTGAAAATATATCATATAAATCCTTTATTTTTTTTTATTTTTTTTGGGGGGGGCTTTTTTGGCTGTTCTTGCTATATGTACATTGTGTCACTGAGGTAACTGCTGAAAGTTTTTCCATAAAAATACACGTAGAACTAGGGCTGGGTATCATTAAGAAGTTGCCGAAACGATACATACCTCGATATACAGGCCACGATACGATACATATCTCGATACAGTGCACTTTCGATTCGATATATATTTCAAATCGATTCGATATGGTTCAATAAAAGATAAAGTCTAAATCATGGCTGTGATACTAAAAGTCTTTGTTAAACCACTTCTTGTGCAAAGTTCATATGAAACACAAACATTTTAATCATCAAAACAGTGAAAATGTCAAATGTGTTGCATAAATGAGTTTCCTTTCACTCCACAAGTCACAAAACTGTAGCACTGTAACAAAATAATTTAGTAAAACACACCTAAAAATACTCTTGCTGATATATCGATACAATAGCCCACGATATCGATACTGTATCATCACATTAAACGATACGATATATCGATATTCCGATATTTTTGCACACCCCTACGTAGAACACCCCAAAATGATGTCAATGCAATGTATCAATAGGATAATAATATAGGGGGCAACTAAAATTAATATTGTTACATGCCAATTTTCATTGCGAGTGAGTTCTAGGGTCCAGTCGTTGATAGAAATGATCAGGCTCAACATTTGTGCTTTTATTTTTGTTTATTCCATTGGCAAGTGCAGTGCAGTCAATAAGAAAAACGGTCTCTTGCCCACCATCACCTCATTCTAAAATCTGGAAACAACCACCAATGTAATTTCTATGAACACTTATGGACTTTTTCATTTAGTTTTTTTCCATATCTCCTTGCAAGTGGTAAAAAAATCTGACTAATTTCAATGGGAGAATTATACCAATATACTTAACCATTAACCTAAATATTCTGGTGTCTCATAAATGTATAACATACTGTATATAAATAGATTTTGAAGGAATATTTTTAGTAATACCTTTTCTATTTTACTCCTCAAAGCCCA